AGTCTGCAACCTTTTTGGCACCAGGGACTGATTTCATGGAAGACCATTTTTCCACGGACAGGGGGTGGGGAGGATGGTTTTGGGATGATTCAAGAGCATTACATCTATGGTGCACTTTGTTTCTAATCTAATGTTGCTTCTGATCTGACAGAAGGTAATGGTCCAGGGCCCAGAAGTTGGGAACCCTTAGCCTAAGGGATTGAAGAGCTTGCACAAAAGGCTAGACATGTCTCTTGTTCTGAGCCCCAATCAAAACTATCAGCCTTTCCCGTCATTCAGTAAACGGGCTGTAGTAACACATCCAAATAACAATAATATTGCCTCCAAAATTTACAGAGGCATATCATCTGCTGTTCCTCTCTTTCAGTTTCAGGAAGGGCCAGAAGCAACATCCTTCACTTGGAAGAATCATCTCACCATGTGCTACATCACTGGACACCTAGACGCTTCACTAAAATAGAAGGCCCCCAGACTTTTATGAGATTTGCTTTCTATGTCTCTTGCAAATGTCTCACCAATGTAAATACTTCTCGCTTACTATAACCGACCAGCACAATGTCATCAGTGTAACAGATCAGTGTGTTACATTACAATATTTACAAATCATATATCTGATAAAAAAACTTTCACTGGGAATACATCAAGCACTCCCAAAACTCATAATAAAAAGACAAATAACCCAATTAAAAATTGGGCAAACTATCCAAACAAACACTTCACGAAAAAAGACAGATGTCAAAGAATGATACACAAAAAAGAGGCACGATATTATGAAGTCACTTGAGAAAAGCAAACAAAGCACAATGAGGTATTAAAAATTGAAATGATCATAAATGAAAAGACTACCCATACTGGAAGCAGTGACACAGGCCTTTATGCTCACAGATGGGCAACCAAATAAGTTGGGAGACAATTACACAAAATTGAAGAGGGCAGTAAATTTTATCCAAGTGCTGGTTGTGCTGAAGCTACCTGTGCACTTTACATTCCCCACTCCACTGTCCTGGGTATTTTTTCACACGAACCCCTCTCTCCTATGTTACTTATCTCCTCTATTTTGGCTTTCACCAGCAAAAATGTAAGGAAGCAGGATAAGTGATTAATCAATCTATCAAAATGATGTGTTTTTTGCTCTCCTCCTATCTAACCAGGAAGTCCAAAGTGGAAGTTAAGCAGTTCTTCCTTTTCAGATATCACACCAAAATGTCACAAACAAGTAAAGTAAACTTTATTTTTCTGAATGAATATTCATGGACAACTGTCTCTGTTACTGCAAAAATCTGAATTTGTTATCACCATGTTCAAAATCCTTCAACAGTTTTCCTCTAAGATGTGGTAAAGAACAAGTCTGGCCTCCAGACTCTGTGCTATCCATATATGCTCACTTCCCTGACTCCATCTCACTCTTGCTGCCTCTCTGATTGGAAGCTGTATTTACTATTTTGTGTTTTTCCAATGATCCAGGCTCTCTGATGGTATAGAATTGGAATGAGAGTTCCAGCTACACAGACAGGTCAACTTTCTTGCAATTGGACAAATTAAAACATTGACCTCATTCAAATCATATGTGATTAGCTCAGACAAGATCATACTGAGCAAAGTTCTCAGAGTACCAAAATTTAGCGATATGCTGGAGTTTGCACAAACATGTCAAATACGTCATCTGTGTTTGAAAGTATGGCATAAAGTACAATTTTAATAGTTAGAACTGGAACTGTCTACAGTGATTACTGCTTATAATTTCAGAGTCTGTAATGCCCTGTCGAACAATGTGGATTTCTCATACACGCCCAAGTCCTCAATGCCCAGAAGCACAGCTTAGCTTTGTCCCGATGGAATTCCATGGACACTATCAGGAGAATTTCAGTTCTCCACTCCTTTCTCTTCTGGCAAAAGCACATAGTCCTACAAGTGGTTAATTCTTGTGTTAAAAAAATTTTAATAAACAGCATTTTCCTAAGCCTGGATAATAAAGCCACCAAAATGAATCAGTGTATAAAATATTGCTCTTTGTGTTATTGTCATTCCAGTGCTCCTGTATTATTTCTACCTCAGAAAACCAAATGCTGAGAGGATCTTGACAATTTCTTAACAGATACTGGTAAGAGAATGATTTCTATAATATTCATCATTTTTCAAGGAAAGTTAAAATGCCGTTAAACATAATAATTTTGATTTGGTTTACAAAATGTCAAAACAGGCAGTTGAAAATGGAAAACCATAATAATAAGTAAATAATCTGTATGTTTTATTGTTATAAGTAAAATCTGGATGTGCAAAATAGCTCTAAGACTATTTTATAGTCTTAAATGATGTGTCTGATTAGATTGATTATAATGACTCCACAGGATATGTTGTGGCGAACTAAAACATTAATTGAATTAAAAGTGCATTTAGGGATATAGGTCATAATGTTTTTAGTGTAAGAAATATGCATTATATATACATTTATTTCTTTATCCAGCTTCTTCCTATCCTCTTTTCCTGCTTCTTGTTTTTTTTTTTTAATTTTAGTTATTCACTTATTTTTGGCTGCACTCAATCTTCACCGTCATGCACAGGCTTTCGTTAGTTGTGGAGAGCAGGGGCTACTATTCGTGGTGCACGGGCTTGTCAGCGGAGCGGCCTCTCTTGTCGCCGAGCGTGGCCTTGAACCTGTGTCCCCTGCTTTGCCAGGTGGATACTTAACCCCTGGAACACCAGGGAAGTCCTTCCTGCTTCTTGTTTCCTTTCCACCCAAATTCGCCTTTCTACTTCTTTATCCTCTTCCCTCTCAATTCCCACCTCTCTTTCTTTGACAACTTTCATGACATTGTTCCTCAAGAAAGAAAATCCACACCTGTTCTCCACATCTTTATTTCATTTTCCTCAATGCTGTATCACTTGCTTTCATTCAATTCTCATTATCCTCCGGCCCCTGCTCTATCACAAAATGGAAACTTCTCTCACTAAAGCCACTAGAAGTCTCTCTTTTTTAAAATTTATTTTCTAGTTGAAGGACAATTGCTTTACAGAATTGTGTTGGTTTCTGCCAAACATCAACATGAATCAGCCATAGGTATTCATATGTCACCTCCCTCCCACCTCCCTCCCCATCACACGGCTCTAGATGGTCACAGAGCCCCAGTTTGAGTTCCCTGAGCCATAGAGCAAATTCCCATTGACTATTTCACACATGGTAACATAAGTTTCATTCTCACACTCAGGAACCTCTGTTCACTCCTTATCCTACTAGAACATTCATTTTGCCTTAGGCACTGTACTTTCCTTCATTCTTGCATATTTTCCTCTCTTTAAGTTTTCAGTCTGAGTTTTCCAATTTCCTCCTGTTTTTCTGATCGCTCTGCTCAGTAGCCTTTTGTGGCTCTTTCCTTTTATTCCTTTTGTGTGAGCCACAGCTCCTGGTTTCAAGACAAAATGACTAAACTGAAAGGAAACTGGCTCTAACAAATAAATGCTAGGGAAGTTGGAGAAATCCACTGGAGAAATAGGCAGGGACACAAAGCAAGAAGTTAAGCAGTCCACAGCTGAAATCACATCTCAGTGCTCACTCAATAAGGGCTGCTATCATTGCTGCTGAACTTGAGTGCTACAACTCGCAATGAAAATGCCACTGTTGTGGGTGCAGGATGCATTTTCTGGGGGGCTGTTATTGCTCCCTTGGTTGACTTTGAACCACAAATCTCTTCCGTTCATATTTGACATCTCTCTCCCCTCTACATATTTCACATCTAGTGTAGATGAACTTCAGTGGTTAACCATAGATCTACTTCCCTGTCTTTAGGAAAAGTCAGTTTCTGGAACTTTTGGCTTCAAGAATAAACAACTTTTGTCTGCCACCAAGACATTTGTATAGAAAAGTCAATCAGATCTAGCAAATGGTGTATATATATTTACATCTCTTTAATATAACTTCCTCACCTTTATTTTCATGCTTTCTTATTTTAACATTATGAACACCATCCACTGGGTTACTCATATATGCTATATTTCAGTAACTCCAATGACTTCAAAGTCTTTATTTCTATTAAGTCCTTATTGAATGATACCACTAAGTTTATGTGATCTGGATGTTCAGAGATTGCTCCTTGCAAAAATGGGCCACTGCATCTAGTTCTCAATCTCAATTTTTGATTACTCTTCCCACCTACCAAGTGACAATCTCTTTTACTAACTTTCCTCAATTTTTGATTACTCTTCCCACCTACCAAGTGACAATCTCTTTTACTAACTATCCTTCATATCTATTATGCTATCAAATCCTAATGACTTAAATCTAATTAATTTTGATCTCTTCGTCTTCCTCAAAACTCCCAATATCATAGCACACAATGACTTAAGAATGTCAAATGCATTTTAATCACTGAAGGACATTTATAAAATGCATATTACCTGTATTCATGACCTGTGAATCAATTTCTATGATAATACCTCAGAATTTATTTTAGTACCAAAACTCCCCCAGAAAATTCTGATGTGTAATCTGGTTTGGGAATCATGGACAAGAGTCATAGATTCTTACAACTGGTCGTTCACCCTGCAGTCTATTTTCTACGACCAAATATTTAGTTTAAAAAAAAACTGATGATGCCAATCCCTGTTTCAAAGTTTTCAATGAATGCCTATCCTTAGAGAATAAAGTTCAAGATCTTTCATATGGCACTGATTTACTTTTATAATTCAGGCCCTTCTGACAACTTACTTTTGACACTATATTCATCTTGAAAACACATGATAGTTTTCTCATAAATAGTTCATGTTCAGAATGTCTTTCTTTTCTTCTACATCAATTCACGACTGTTTACATTTTAAAATAAAATGATTGCATTTTTCCAAAATAGCAACTGCTACAAATACTTGTTATTTTAGTAAGAGTAAATAAGGGGCATTCATTCTAGTGCATGGTTCTGTTACTCTCAATGAATTTTCTTTTAAAAATTCTTGTGACATGTTCTTTTTCCATTTATTGCATTGTATTTCAGAGGTCATCTATCATGGATATGGAAACAAAAAACGTAACAGAGCTGACAGAGTTCATTCTCACAGGACTTATACATCAACCAGAGTGGCAGATCCCCCTGTTCCTTCTGTTCTTGATGATATACCTCATCACCATTGTGGGAAACCTTGGTCTAATCGCTCTCATCTGCAATGACCCTCACCTTCACATTCCCATGTACTTATTCCTTGGGAATCTGGCCTTTGTGGATACTTGGTTATCCTCCACAGTGACCCCCAAAATGCTGCTCAACTTCTTTGCCATGAGCAAAATGATCTCTCTGTATGAATGTAAGATACAGTTTTTTTCCTTTGCAATTTGTGTAACCACAGAATGTTTTCTGCTGGCAACAATGGCATTCGATCGCTATGTGGCCATATGCAAACCATTACTTTATCCAGTGATCATGACTAACAGACTATGTATCTTGCTGTTAGTTTTGTCATTTTTAGGTGGTCTCTTCCATGCCATAATTCATAATGCTTTTTTACTCAGATTAACCTTCTGCAATTCCATCATAGTACATCACTTTTATTGTGACATTATACCATTGTTTAAGATTTCCTGTACTGACCCTTCAATTAATTTTCTTATGGTATTCATTTTTGCTGGATCAATACAGGCATTCACCATTTCCATTGTTCTTGTCTCTTATACACTTGTTCTCTTTACAATCTTAAAAAAGAAGTCTCTACAAGGAATAAGGAAAGCCTTCTCCACCTGTGGAGCCCACCTCCTGTCTGTCTCTCTATACTATGGGCCTCTTCTCTTCATGTATGTGCTCCCTGCATCTGCACAAGAAAATGATCAGAATATGATGGACTCTCTGTTTTACACTGTCATCATTCCTTTCTTAAATCCAATAATTTACAGCCTGAGAAATAAGAAAGTCATAGACTCACTAACAAAAATGGTAAAGAGAAATGTTTAGATATCATATTAATAAGTATTCTTCTCATTAAAACACTAGAGAACTACACAATTATATGTCTATGTGTTGACTATTATTTAAAAATTTTTGCATTTATAGTTGTACTATTCTTTTATTGACTTATTCCCAGCTGGCTCAGTGATAAAGAATCTGCCTGCCAATGCAGGAGACACAGGAGATGCGGGTTCGATCCCTGAGTCAGGAAGATCCCCCGGAAGAGTAAATAGCAACCCATTTCAGTATTCTTGACTGAAATGTTCCATGGACAGAGGAGCCTGGTGGGCTACAGTCCATGCGGTCTCAAGAAGTCAGACACGATTGAGCAACTAAAAATCAGTTCAGTTCAGTTCAGTCGCTCAGTCGTGTCCGACTCCTTGCAACCCCATGAATCGCAGCATGCCAGGCCTCCCTGTCCATCACCAACTCCCTGAGTCCACTCAAACCCATGTCAGTGGGTTTGAGTCGGTGATGCCATCCAACCATCTCATCCTCTGTCGTCCCCTTCTGCTCCTGCCCTCAATCCTTCCCAGCATCAGGGTCTTTTCAAATGAGTCAGCTCTTCGCATCAGGTGGCCAAAGTCTTGCAGTTTCAGCTTCAGCATCAGTCCTTCCAATGAACACCCAGGACTGATCTCCTTTAGGATGGACTGGTTGGATCTCCTGGCAGTCCAAGGGACTCTCAAGAGTCTTCCCCAACACCACAGTTCAAAAGCATCAATTCCTCTGCGCTCAGCTTTACTTATAGTCCAACTCTCCATACAAGACCACTGGAAAAACCATAGCATTGACTAAGCATACAAGATGTTAGTATCTAATAAGTTCCTTTAAACAACTTCATATTTTAATTATTTATGTCTTACCTAAAAAATTAGAGCAGAAAACACGAATGAAAAAATTTTACAGGCTTATATGTTGTTCAGTGTGGCTCTATAAATACATTCAGTTTTAAAACAGTGCAGGCCCTGTGAACAGGACTTGATTATGACATCTTTGCTATTTCTACAGCCATGTAGCATGGAAACTCTTATCAAATTTAACTCGAATGGAGGGAGGTTTGTGTTTTGAGTGAACAGAGGTAATTCCCAGGAATTTTGCTAGCAATCAAAAGGCCTATTAGTCCACATTATTTGAGGTATGGTAAATTTTGCTTCTTGTGGGGATAAACTCCATACCACACAGAGAAATAAAGAGAAATGAGGAAGAAATGCAGAAAAAAATGGTTTGGGAGCTAAGACAATGAAGACAGAGCTACACTGTTAAGAGATCCTCTTACCTTAATATGCTTCTTAGAGAAAGGGAAGGAGGGGAGTTGCCTCTTAACTGTATATGCTTCTTCTATATGTCCTTTCTAGGTGCATCTGTATGCTATAGATCAACCTGAGAAACTTCACTAATTCAGAAAGCTAACAGATTAGACTGATAATTTAAATTGGATAGACATAAAGAATAAGAGAGAAATGGCAAAACAGGAGAAAAATAGTCAAAAACTTCTTGCAAACAAAATCCAAGAATGAACAGCTTCACTAGGAAGTTTTACCAAACATACAAAGAACTTATTTCAAAAGACGGAAAGTGAGAAAACATTCCCAAATTTATTCTGTTAAGGTTTACCACCATTACCTTGACACCAAAACCAAAGACATTATTAAAAAAAATAATATTACAGTGCAACAACTTTGAAGGATGTAGATGCAAATCAAATTCAACCACCACCCAAAAGTATCATACACCATAATGAAGCGGGATTCATTCCAGGGTCAAGAATGATTCAACATATGCAAATCAATAAACACCATATCAACAAAAGGAAAGAAAAAAAACACATGATCATTTCAGTAGATTTAGGAAAAAACATTTGATAAAATTCAACATCCAATCATGAATTAAGTATCACCAAAGTAGATATAGAGGGAACATATCTCAATATACAAAAAGCCATTTACAACAAACCCACAGCCAATATAATACTCAATGGTGAAGAGCTGAGATTTAGGAAAGAAACAAAGATGCTCACTCTCACCATTTCTATTCAATATCACATTGGAAGTCTTAGTCACAGAAACCAGACAAGAAAAAGAAATGAAAGGTACTCAAACTGTAAAGGGAAATGTGAAACTGTCACTATTTGCAGATGAGATAACTTTTCAACACTATATAGAGAAGTACCAAGACTCCATCCAAAACCTATTAGAACTAGTAAATTAATTCAGCAAGGTATCAGGATACAAGATTAATATACAGAAATCAGTTGCATTTCTTTACACTAATGATGAAATATCAGAAAAAGAAAATAGAAAACAATTCCATTTAAAACTGCATCAAAAAATAAATTGGAATAAACTTAACCAAGCGAGTGAAAGACCTATTTACAAAACTTTAAAACGCTGATAAATAAAACTGAAAATGACTCAAAGAGTTGGAAAGATATCTCATGCTCTTGGATTGGAAGGATTAATTATGCTAAAGTGGCCATAGTAGACAAAGCAATCAGTGCACTTAATGCAATTGCTATCAAAATACTCAGGATACTTTTCACAGAACAAATAACCTAAAATTTATATGGAACAATGAGACCCCAGATTGCCACATCTGTCTTGGGGAAAAATAATAACAAAGCTTGATATATATTTGTGCTCATCTCACACACTAGTAAAGTAATGCTCAAAATTCTCCACACCGGGCTTCAGCAATACGTGAACCGTGAACTTCCAGATGTTCAAGCTGGTTTTAGAAAAGGCAGAGGAACCAGAGATCAAATTGCCGACATCTGCTGGATAATCGAAAAAGCAAGAGAGAACCAGAAAAATGTCTATTTCTGCTTTATTGACTATGCCAAAGCCTTTGACTGTGTGAATCACAATAAACTGTGGACAATTCTGAAAGAGATGGGAATACCAGACCACCTGACCTGCCCCTTGAGAAACCTGAATGCAGGTCAGGAAGCAACAGTTACAACTGGACATGGAACAAGAGACTGGTTCCAAATAGGAAAAGGAGTATGTTAAGGTTATATATTGTCACCCTGCTTATTTGACTTACATGCAGAGTACATCAAGAGAAATGCTGGGCTGGAAGAAGTACAAGCTGGAATCAAGACTGCCGGGAGAAATATCCATAACCTCAGATATGCAAATGACACCACCCTTATGGCAGAAAGTGAAGAGGAACTAGAAAGCCTCCTGATGAAAGTGAAAGAAGAGAGTGAAAAAGTTGGCTTAAAGCTCAACATTCAGAAAACTAAGATCATGGCATCTGGTCCCATCACTTCATGGGAAATAGACAGGGAAACAGTGGAAACAGTGGCTGACTTTATTTTCTTGGGCTCCAAAATCACTGCAGATGGTGACTGCAGCCATGAAATTAAAAGACACTTACTCCTTGGAAGGAAAGTTATGACCAACCTAGACAGCATATTAAAAAGCAGAGACATTACTTTGCCAACAAAGGTCCATCTAGTCAAGGCCATGGTTTTTCCAGTGGTCATGTATGGATGTGAGAGTTGGACTGTGAAAAAAGCTGAGCACCAAAGATTGATGCTTTTGAACTGAGGTGTTGGAGAAGACTCTTGAGAGTCCCTTGGACTGCAAGGAGATCCAACCAGTCCATCCTAAAGGAGATCAGTCCTGGGTGTTCATTGGAAGGACTGATGCTGAAGCTGAAACTCCAATACTTTGGCCACCTCATGCGAAGAGTTGACTCATTGGAAAAGACCCTGATGCTGGGAAAGATTGAGGGCAAGAGAAGGGGACAACAGAGGATGAGATGGCTGGATGGCATCACCGACTCGATGGGCATGAGTTTGAGTAAACTCCAGGAGTTGGTGATGGACAGGGAGGCCTGGCGTGCTGCAATTCATGGGGTCGCAAAGAGTCGGACATGATGGAGCGACTGACCTGAACTGAACTGAACTGATAGCTGACTGGCCTAGTGGTTTTCCCCACTTTCTTTAGTTTAGGCCTGAACTTTGCTACAAAGAGCTGATGATCTGACCCACAGTCAGCTCCAGGTCTTGTTTTTTTGTGACTGTATACACCTTCTCCATCTTCGGCTACAAAAAAATGTAATCAATTTGATTTCAGTATTGACCATTTGGCGATGTCCATATTTAAAATCATTTCTTGTGTTGTTGAAAAAGGGTGTTCACTAAGATCAGTAGGTTCTCTTGGCAGAACTCTGTTAGTCTTTGCCCTGCTTCATTCTGTACTCCAAGGCCAAATCTGCCTGTTACTCCAGGTATCTCTTGACTTCCTACTTCTGCATTTCAATCCCCTATGAATAGGACATACATCATTTTTCAGTGTTAGTTCTAGGAAGTCTTGTAGATCTTCAAGTGTACCCACTGTCAACCTGGCACCCATAAACACTTTTCTAAAACCATAATTAAACTTCAAATAAGGATAACGGTAAGGGCATAGTTCTACCAATAATGATGCAGTTGTGCTGTGTACAATCAAAAATGCATCAAAAAGGGGCTTCCCTGGCAGTCTAGTGGTTAAGAATCTGCCTGCCCAATGCAAGGGACATGGGTTCAATCCCTGTTCAGGAAGATTCCACATGCCATGGGGCAACTAAGCCTGTATGCCACAACTACTAAGCCTATGCTCTAGAGCCTGTGACCCGCAACTACTGAAGCCAGTGCACTCTGGTGCCTGAGCTGCACAATAAGAGAAGTCACCACAATAAAAAGCTCATGCACCTCAAGGAAGCATAGTCCCTGTTCACCGCAACTAGAGAAAGCCTGCACAGAAAGCCTTCTGCAGCAACGAAGACCCATTGCAGCCAAAAATAAGTAAATAAAATAAATAAGTAAATAACGACCAGGCTGAGCGCCAAGAGGGATCAGGGAGGCTCCAGATTTATAGGGAGGTTTGTGGAAGTGACAAGGGAAACATTAATCAGGCAGCATGTTTTGGGTATTCTTTAGTTGAGATGGCATTTATAGTTGGGCAGGGGGTGATAAAAAAAATTATTTAAAAAGGCACTAAGAGGGAAGATATTTA